ATAACAAGAATCACAACACTTTAATAATTAAGATAGTGACGTACTGTTAGGGAATAGGTAAACTGATTAACAGAACAGAAACAGACCAACTTGATAAAAACTCGACAGAGGTAGCAGAGGTGGCACTGCAGATCAGTGGGAAATGTTTGGAATACTTAGTAAATTATGCTGGAACTACTACTTAACCAATAAAAACTGAAATTAGGTTCTTAACCATATAAAAATCAATTTCAGATGGATTAATAACAAATATAAAAAGCAAGACTAAACCTCTTAAAGTAATAGAATTGCTATCATCTTAGGGGTAAGGAAGGATTTCCCCACAACATCTCAAAAAGCACTAGAAAGACAGAGAGAAAGAAGGAAGGAGGGGGAGAAAGAGAAAAGAATGAAAAGAAAAAATATTAAGAAGTTAGACTAAATTAACATTAAAATTTTTGTTCATGAACATACCATCAACACTTTCGAGTATTTGAAAAAAATGGAATCTGCCTAATTCCATGCCTCCCAGTTTTACCTCCCCTAAACTGTACAAAACAAGAAAGAAAAAGTAAATCTACAGGCTGGGCGGGGTGGCTCACGCCTGTAATCCCAGCACATTAGGAGGCTGAAGTGGATGAACCACCTGAGGTAAGGAGTTCAAGACAAGCCTGGCCAACATGGTGAAACCCAGTCTCTACTACAAATACAAAAATTAGCTGGGCATGGTGGTGCATGCCTGTAATCCCAGTTGCTTGGGAGACTGAGGCAGGAGAATCGCCTGAACCCAGGAGGTGGAGATTGCAGTAAGCTGAGATCGCGCCATTGCACTCCAGCTTGGGTGACAAGAGCAAGACTCTGTCTCACATATAAAAACTATATCCTCAGAATCATCTGAATACAAAGAATGCTAATATCTCAAAATAAACGTGAGTAAAAACAGAAAACTTACCAAATCATAAGGTGCAATCTCTCATGATCCCACCCCACCAAACAAAACAGAAAGGTTTTGGTGTAGACAAAGGAAGAGAAAAACTACCAGGAAGACAGAAGAAAGAAGACAGCAATGGGGGGCTAAAGTTAGAAAGGAAAGTCCATGTTAAATCTGAAAATACTAACAGCAGCAATAACAAAACTGAGTAGATGACAGCACAGCCTACAGGCAAGGAACTCTAAAAGTACATGTGAGTTACTTTCAGCATAACTTAGCATAAGTTACTTTCGAGCATAACTTAACGGGGTAGTTGGGCAGTCTTTGTACATAGCTTCTGCAGGAGGAAAAAAGGCAGAAGGGAAAAGGCCCTTCAGCAACTGGGTGGTGAAGGGAAAATGAAAAAAAAGGGGGTAGGGTCCTAAGAGACAAAAGACAATCACAAAATCAGAGGATTCACAATCCCTTCCCTTCCAAAACAAAATACAACAAAACAAAACAACCCTATTACATATTTCCATATCAATCTCCCCTTCTACTTAGCCTTAAATTTTCTCACTGAAGTCACACCTTTAAGTTATATACCTACCTCTAGAAGAAATTTATCCACATGGTCACCATTAGCATATATAGAGCATGTAAGACTATGGCAAGGTGAGCACTTTATATTAGGGTAGATTAATTGATAAAGGGCAGAATATAGGTTGCTGTACTTCTTGGGCTCACTGACTCACTAACATTTCCCAGCCTGTTTTGAAGTTACTACAGATGTAGCCCTGTGACTGAATTATTGACATGGGAATCTTAAAGAATGTACTTTGCTTCCAGGCCTATCCCACAAAAATCTCGTACACACGACCTTCCTTTCCCCTTTTTTCCCCCACACACTCCCTGCTTAATGAAGATGAATACACTAACCTCCAAAGCCATGTGCCAGAGCCACAAGCTAGGATCCTGGATCCCTGAATCACTGCTGAAGGAGTGCTCTGTGGCAACTAGAAATATCCGATATAAACTTCACGAGAGAGAAATAAACCTCTATCCTGTTTGAGTCATTATTTGTTTGGGGTTTGTTTGGCGCAGCAGCTAACAGTACCTTGAGTAATACAATATGTTGACTATTTCCTAGGGAAGCAGAAAAATCTTCTATAGGGATATACGACATAGAAGATGTATACTTCAACACAGGGGGAAGAGTGGTAGCAGAAGAAAAATAAGAATGACAGAGAAATCAGAGTGGATTCTGAACCATGGTTAATGAGGAGTTGAGACAGGTGCTTACAATTTGAAAGAAGGGATACTTTTAAGATGAAAACTATATAAAAGGGAAATATAATTATGATATAATATGGCTTTACTGCAAACAAGATTGATCATAAAAAAGTAAGTTCTGAAAACTGACTTAATCAAAATTGAAATACAACTTAGGGAAATGAGATTTGAAGAAATGCATGAGAGGGTAAGTTGGTTTCTATTTTCACAGGTCCAAAGATAGAAAGGAATTTTGAACCACAATGGATCACACCCAGAGTCTCACCCATACATTATGTAAGTGATTTAGATAATGAGACTTTTGAACTGATGATACTCAGATGACATTTCGGGCTCCGAGTTGATACTATAATGTCTTTGTAGATCAGGGTAAGATACTTTTATTTGAAGTATAATAAGAATCCACAGAAAAATTTCAATAAGCAAAGTGGTTGGCCTGATTTACATTTTTGAAAATCACTAATACTTACTGAAAGGAGATAAAAATGCAAGTAGGGAAACCAGTTAGAAAACTATGACAGTGATCTAGGCAAAAAAAGACAGAGAACTACACTACAATGACAGCAGCAGGATGAAAAAAAAAAGAGGATAAATTAAAAAATACACTTTGCAGGTAGAACTGATTGAACTTACTAATAAATTAAATGTGGACAATAATAATGAGGGAAATATAGGATGATTCCTAAGTTAGGAGTTGAGTAACTGGGTAGATGGTGCTATTTATTAGCTGAGATGGAGAAAACTGAGGAAGGTATAGGCTCAGGTAAGAAAATCAAGACTTGCATTTTAAACGTGTCAAGTTGTTGTTATAACAGATATCCAGATAGAAATATTAAGTAACTCATTTGATAAAAGATGAGGGAGCTCAGCCAGCCAAGAGCTGGATTTACAAATTTATGTGCTATTTAAAGCAATAGAACTAGATAAAATCAAACAGAGTAAAAGATAGAAAAATGAAGTAAGCCCAGGACCAAACCCCTGGTATATGATATAATCAGAGGTCTGACGGGGAGAGAGGCTAGCAAAAGAGACAGAAACAGCCAAAGAGGTAAAAAGAAGTTGTGATGTCTGGCCGAGTGCGGTGGCTCACACCTGTAATCCCAGAATTTGGGGAGGCCGAGGTGGGCAGATCATTTGAGGTCACAAGTTCAAGGCCAGCCTGGCCAACATGGTGAAACCCCATCTCTACTAAAAATAGAAAAATTAGCCGGGCATGGTGGTGTACACCTGTAATCCCAGCTACTTGGGAGGCTGAGGCATGAGAATAGCTTGAACCCAGGAGGCAGAGGGTGCAGTGGGCCAAGATCATACCACTGCATTCCAGCCTGGGAGACAGAGTGAAAATCTGTCTTTAAAAAAAAAAAGGAAAAGAAAAAGAAAAAAGGAGGTTGTGATGTCAGAGATGTCATTTCATTTGAATAATCACTGATACTAATTATAATTACTCTTCACAACTTTCATATGATCTACCCTATGGAAGTCTAGCATAAAACGCAAAAAGCTTTAGCCCAGAGCATTAATTCTAAAAATATTCAAATACTTATGAAAAATTTACTGTACTGAATGTTCAGAGGATAAACAAAGATTCAGATATTTTTCCATGTCATGGCTATGGTGTGAATAAATTTTTTTAATGCAGAATTAAATTTCTATAGATAATGGAAGACAGAGAAAAAGCTAGACTAATATAGAGAAATCTGGGCAAAGCATACTTTGAGAACTACCTGAATAGGAATAGAGACAGCAATAAAGAACAACAACCAAAAAAGCCATGATAAAAAAAAGATATATTCACACTATCCTCTATCCTTATCTAATTTTCTCCATTGTAGCTTTCTGTTCCCTTTGTAGCCACAAAAGACCCTCTAAACCTTTTCATTTTCTTACTTTTAGCTGTCTCTATTCTTGTCTTGATTCTTTTTTCACCTGACTACACCTTTAATAGCTTTTGATTCCAACTGATCTTTACTGTCTTTTGCTATCCCATCAAATTAAAAGTTTTAAAAAGTTTTAGTGGGACTGGATAATAACTATAAAATTATTTTAAACATTTTTAGGAATTCTGGATTTATATAAATAGCAGAAGACTACAAATGTTTATGTGGAGAAATAAAACAATGCATAAATTTGTCTATCCCCTACCTCCACTTTAGTAAGAAGCACAAATCAACAATGGTTATAGCATGAGAATCACAATCCTAAATTTGAGATTTCACGAAACTGACTTCAATTTCCTCCTTTGTGGTACCAGAGGAAAGGTATATGGAAAAACTGTATTTTAATAAAGAAAGAAGATTTTTAAATGAACAGCAATTGCATGCAATGACTCACAGATAAACTAGTACGACCATGTCAATAATAGTGACATAAATTCACCTAAAAAGGATTAAAATGTTTTTAAAGTCTAAAGAACTTGAGGCCTTTCAGAGCTGTTAAAGACTTACTGAAAATATGCTGACATTTTCCTGCCATGCCTCTAATACCCAGGTATGAGTGTCAAATAATGACACTGCTCCAAACTTCCTTAAAGTGAAATATTAGGGATGGGAGGAGTGCTGTTAGTTGGCTAGACTCAGGAGGGCCAAGTGAGTTTGAAGAGAGATGCAAGAAAAGAAAGTGCCCCAAGTTTAAAAAGAGCCAAGAGTAGTAAATTTATGAGGATTTCTTCCCCTGACCTCCCCAGGAATATCTTTTCTTCATACCATTTCACAGATTTGTGATTACTTATAAGAAGTTGTGAGGACTCCCAAGGTTCTCCTGATTCTTCCACATCTAGAGAATACCTGATTCCTTGCCTCCCACCTAGTAACTGAATTACCTTTCCTGGGGCCACTTTGTTGAACCACCCAGTTGTCAGGTGGCTCCTTCTAAGGAAGCATAGACAGTTGTTGGTGTCAAAGGATGTTGTGGTCTTTGGATATGTTCCCGATTTGAATTTCAACCAACTCCTCACATCTCTCTGATGGGGTACAGTAATAGAACAGAAGTCAATGGGAGATCAGCATGCACTCAGATTCCAGATTCTGAAAGGGAACAAAAATCAAACCCTCCATTCTTTGCCTCTTCACCATGTCTAATAACCAATATGCTAGAAACCAGGCAGGCTCTATCAGCCCATCAAAACTAAATATAAAGCAACAACTCTCAATAATCACATAATAAGTAATATGCACTTTATGAATGCTTAAGTCTATAAGACAAATGTTAATATTTACTAAAATTTACACTTTATAAATTCAAATTATACGCCATCCTACTAAAATCTATTATACACTTTGAAAGTATTCAGTTAGTATTTAAACAGCCATGCAGAGCAGTGACTTACCTTTTCTAATACAGATAAGTTCATGTACTCCACAGGTTCTCTCTCCACCTGTTAAAAAAAGTTTATGGGAAGTTAAGAACAAAGAAAGTAGCGTGAATTTGACTGTTACAAAGAATCATTTTAAATTAGCACCTAAAAGTGACCTCAGAAAAAGTTTCCCTAACTCTTCTCTTTATACTTAACTAAATGAATATGATAGCCTGATAACAGAATTTTCTGGAACAACCCAGAAATTAGGTCTTAGGAAGTCTCGGAATGAAGACACTTCATTCAAGTATGTGATTCTGAATGGCAACCTTCCCAACCGCAGAAATCACACCACCATTTCCCAAGCATCTCTTCACATCGTCTAGAAGGAAAGACTCTAAGAGAGGACCCACTTTTGTATCTGAGCCTTAACATACACAAGTAAGTTACTGAAAGGTCAATCCCCTAAAGTTACTATTTATAGTTTATCATATATGCTCATATTATATATTCTCCAACAACCCACTATTATAAATTTATAAAACAAATTTAACAGTATGATGATAAAAACAAATTTAACTTTAAAAATTACTTTGATTATTCTTTTTTGGAAAGAGTCTTTTGTAATGCTTCTTTTTTAAAAAATCTCTACTTATTGGGCCAAAAACCAAAAATACAGAAAAGTGCACAAATGTATAAAACTTTCATGTAATTATCACAAAGTAAGCACCTGAGTTGCTACAAACCAAGTCAAGAACCAGAACTTTGCTGGCATTCCAGGAGCCCCTTTAACTCATCTTCCTAGGCACTACTTTGTGCCCCAGAAGCACCTAATCTTCTCAGTGCTATCACCACAGCTTGGTTTTGTCTGCTTAGAAAATTTAAACAAGTGGAATTGTTAAGTGGGCATTTTTGAGTCCTACTTCTTTCAATATTAGGTTTGTAAGATCAAACTATTTTATTGCTTGTAGTTGTGGCTCATTCCTTTTCATTTCTGTATATAATTCTATTGTGTATAAATATACATATATACACATATATTCATGCATACATACGTATAAATTTCAATTCTACCATTCATAAACATTTGAATTGATTTTGGTTTGCTGTGACTCATTTTGCTATGAACCTTTTTATATAATACATGTCTCTTTGTTTCCCACACGCATGCTGTGCGTGCGTGTCTTCTAAATGTATTTCGAGGAGAACAGCTGGGTTTACGGGGCAAATGTATGTTTAACTTTAGAAGATAATGGCAAATGGTGGAAATAGATAAAGAAAATGTGGTAAATATATGCGGTGGAATACTATGCAGTCTAAAAGAACAAGGAAATTCTGTCATGTGCAACAATATGGATGAACCCGGAGGACATTATGCCAAGTGAAAGAAAGCAGACACGGAAGGACAAATACTGCATGATCTCACTTGTATGTAGAATCTACAAAAGTCAAATTCACAGATGTAGAGTAGAATGGTAGTTACCAGAGGTGGGAGAGAGAAAGGAATGGAGAGGGGCAGGACAGGAAATGGGGAGATACTGCAAAGGGTACAAAGTTTCAGATAGACGAGGAGTTCTAGAGATCTACCGCATAGCATGGTCACTACAGTCATTAATAATGTGTTGTATATGTCAAAATTTCTAAAAGAATAGACCTTAAATGTTCTCACTACAAAAAAGGTGAAGTGACTGATATGTTAATTAGCTTGATTTAATCATTCCACAATGTATACATATATCAAAACATCACACTGTACCCCATAAACACATACTTTGAATATTCTAATTTATTATAAGAGTAATTTTATCTATTAGTTACTACTATATAGATCTATTTCCTTCACTCAGAAGCATGCCACCACTTTAATGTAAGCTGAATAAAACTTTGTAGTGTTCTGTATATGTATGACCTTATAATTATTGTGAATTACTTTTAGTCTTTCCATAATGAAAATATTAAATAATTTAATCATTTCAGTTTAGCACAGAAGCTTTTAAAAACAGCTTGGATATAAGAAACAGAAATATCCTACAGCAATAACATGAGAAGTAAAAACCATGATATCCACTAAAAAAAGTAGGTCGTCTGAGAAGCAAGTTAAAAAAACTAGAAAATAGTATTTCTATCACCAAAGTAGGTTAGATCTTCATTCTGACTTGGTTGTAACAATGGCATTGCTTCTTTAGTATTAAAAATACAGAATAATCACTGATTATCAGGAAGATAGGCTTTGTAAGAAGAAACACCTAACTTAAAGCTATGGGGTTATAAAGGAATTATTCAGCAAAACCCCAGTGCAAAAAATAGAGTGTTAATTGGAATATTACCAGTGAACACAGATTACCTGCTGAAAGGCTAGAATGAAATATACCTACGTACTACAGTTCTTTCCAATTGAGGAGATGCTAGTCCAATGACTGGCTATTTACCGAATTATAACAAAAAGCTATTTTTGAAACATTAGAAGGGTCATGTAATAAAAATAACATAATTATTATGTATTAATATATTGAGGCCTACGATGTTTTCAGAGGTTACTTAGAAATATTCTCCATGCACATTAAGGCTTATTCTCTAGAAGTTACACACATAACTTAGTTTGAGTTACATAGTTAATTCATGTAAAAACACTGTACTTTTTAAGGCCTGTAATTAGAACTAAACTCTCCCATGTATTTAATATAAATTGATTAGGTTTTACCACATACACCTAATCTTAACTGTACCAGCATTATTTTTACAAGGCTTAGTATGTACAGTAACAATAAAAACTACTACATTCTAAGACATTTCTCAAAACTGCAGAATGACAATGAAAGCCAATTCCCACTTTTAAAAGCATTCAATTTATCTATATCAAAGAACCTCATAAATTTTTCAAGTTACTCAAATAATCACTATATTTCATATTTACAGTCAATTAGCTGCCAAATTTGTCAAAGTACCCACAAAAGTCAAATAAGCAAATAAGACTATGCACGACCTTTCTTGATATTTGTCCCCTAAATTCTAACCAACAAATAAGACTTCACTGATGTACATGTGGAACTCAAAAGAAATCACTATTCTTATGAAAATGAACAGTGAACAGAAATACTAAGGATACATAATTTCCAGACAATAAAATAAAATTCAAGAAAACCCTGCTTTTAAAAATACAAAAGAAGAAATACAAAAAAGTCATATAAATTTATTACATTATTGGAAACTGAAATTCAGTGTCCCTTTTTTTTTTTTTTTTTTTGAGATGGAGTCTCACTCTGTCACCAGGCTGGAGTACAGTGGCGCAATCTCAGCTCACTGCAACCTCCGCCTCCCAGGTTCAAGCAATTCTCCTGCCTCAGCCTCCCAAGCAGCTGGGACTACAGGCACGTGCAAATGGTGCCTAATTTTTGTATTTTAAGTAGAGACAGGATTTCACTATGTTGCTCAGGATGGTCTCGATCTCTTGACCTCATGATCCACCTGCCTCGGCCTCCCAAAGTGCTGGGATTACAGGCGTGAGCCACCATGCCCAGCCTAGTGTTCCCTTTATCCCCAATCCTTCCTAAGACTGGGAGGAGTGTAAGGAAAAAATATGAATTCTCTAGGTTAAATGTAAATTTTTTAATGTATATGTCTGTTTGGAAGTCAAAGGCTTAAATACTTTTTCAGTTAGAGATAAGTTGAACTTTGTACAAATTTTATGTTTTATTTCGTCTTGAAAAGTAAATCTGAAAAGTTTCCAAAAGAAATGTTAAATTTGTAAGCAGGAGGCAAGAAAGACACTGTAGACATATCTTGATTTAGATGTGGTGGTAATCCAAAAAGTGGTTTACTGCTTTTAACAGTGTAATGCACAAGAGGGAATGCTTATTTAGTCACTTAGCCAGTATCTTTGGAAAGAGATTAATCTTCCACTAAAAAAATCACCCCCAAAATGAACTCCTGTATAAATACAATTTTCCACACATCAAATTTAATTCAAGAAAATGAGTACTGAGACAACAGAACATAAGACACTAGAACTCAGAAACACATTTGTCTAGTTCATAATTTTATAGATAAATGGAGACCCCAAAAGTTAAAGTTGTTCAAGGTCACTAGTTAATTGCTAGGGGGGAAAAAAAAAAGAACATTATGTTTAATGCATTTTGGAAAGTTAATATTGATTTTTCTTCATTTTTATGAAAAAACTGAAAGTTATGAAATTGTTTTCCAATCCTTTAAGGTAATTTAAATAGAACTGCATAAAAACTATACTTGGAGATAATAGTAGCACTGCTTCTGAAATAATCATCTCAGCAACATGGAAAGGAGAAACAGATAGAAAATGACAAGCTGAGTCAAAGTTACCATCTTTTCCCTCAGGCAAACCCATGTAGGAGCAAAATGTAAACTGGCATAATCCTCTACAATTGGAATAAGGGGTATAAGAGAAAATAGATGTGTGTGGGCACACACGTATGCTGTGATTGTGTGCATGTGTTTGTGTATGAATATACATGTGAGTGTCACTGGAAACTGGAATTTTAAAAAAATAAACAAAAGGATCATTACAACATATGTACTTGCCCACATGTTTACAGAAGGAAAATATGTAGTTATATGACAGCCCCATCGAAATACATCCAGGTACAGGCATATCTCAGAGATATCAATGGGTTTGACTTCCAATCACTGCAATAAAGTGTATATCGCAATAAAACAAGTCACATAAACTTTTTGGTTTCCCAGTGCAAACAAAAGTTATGTTTACACTAGACTGTAGTCTATTAAGTGTGCAATATCATTGTGTCTTAAAAAATGTATGACCTTAATTTAAAAATAATTTATTGCAAAAAAAAAATAGTAATGATTGTCTAAACCTTCAGCAAGTCCTATCTTTTTGCTGGTGAAGGGTTTTGCCTTGATGTTGATGTTTGTGGACCAATCAGGATGATGGCTGATGAAGGTTGGGGTGGTTGTAGCAATTTCTTAAAATTAGACAATGAAGCTTACCACACCGATGGAGTCTTCCTTTCATGGAAGATTTCTCTGTAGCATGCAATGCTGTTTGATAGCATTTTACTCACAATAGAACTTTAAAAACTGGAGTCAATCC